CAATGGTTGTATAGATGGATTTTCTCGTTATTTACTTTGGCTGGAGGCATACGTTACTAACAGCAACCCACGAGTAATTGCACATTATTACCTTGATGTGGTGGATCGGGCAAATGGACGCCCTCGTCAATTGAGGACAGATTTGGGAACTGAAAATTCTCATATAAAAACCATGCAGGATTTTTTAGACTGCATCACGAGGATGCAGTTGCAGGAGAGAAATCTTGTATACAGGGGAGAAGTACCACAATCAACGCATAGAGTGTTGGTGGGCTATCCTGCGCAAGGAGAGTTCACAGCACTGGATGAATGTATTCAGCCAGCTAAAAGACGGGGGTGAATTTTATACAGGCAGCTTTCTTGACAAGAATCTCATCCAGTTCTGCTTCTTGAACCTCATATCTTGAACCTCATCCAGGTGAGTTTCTCAGTTGAAAATAATTGTTAATAACAGTGTGGAAGGAAACAGTCACTTGCTGGGATATGTACATGTACTGGCATCTATATTGATCCTAGTGAGGTATCACGAAACATACATGTATCTGGGAAAGTTTTCATCTTCATATATAGAGGGCGTGGTTTTGTGGGTTTTTTCCAGTTTTGTAAAGAATATTATGAAAATGACAAAACACAACACGAAAATGCAAGTCCATTCTTTTTAGTCTTGAAAGTTTTTTGTCATTCCAAACTTGATTCTGTGCCCTTAATCGGTCTTTTTATTCGTAGTACCCTATTGGTTGCAATGTTGAATAGAATTTCTTGCACACTTTTCAATTGACACTGAGCGAATCAACGCAGTTTTGTGCACTTACGTTTCAGTGACCGCTGTCTTTATTTCGCTATTAGCAATGGCGTCACAAGAGGGGGAGGGGTAGCAAGGGGGGTCCTTCCCTCCCCCTCCCCACCCCTGTGGAAAAGCTAACCCCCCCCCCCAAAAAAAAGGATTTAAAAAGAAAAAAAAAGACATTAAAAAGGGACACAAAGTCATATTGCTATTCATTTAATGGGTTTTAATAAAATAAAATGGGCGTAGCCAGGATTTTGTCTAGAGGGGGCAAAAGCACAATTTTTCCAAAAAAATCCATGTACATTTCCAGCATATTTTTGATTTATCATTTTTTTTCGAGGGAGGCAGGGACATTTACTGCTTCCCTCCCCACCCATTCAATTAACAGAAATTTGACTTTGCAACTCTGTTTTTTTGTTTAGCGCACCCCCCCCTCCCCCCGCCACGCCCATGTATAATATAATTATGAAGACTCGGAGCAATTCATTGGGGGTGATTATGGTTGGTGTTATATGTTACATCCCCTGGGTAATCCTGGAGTGTTACCCAAGGAGAAGAGTGGGGGGATAATTGCATCGCACAACTTTAAAAAGGGAGAAAATGCATGTGTACTTATGAACTTTCTGTTAGGGGTGTGTTGCAACAATTGACAAAATAAGTGTTAAATCAGCATGGCACCTGCACACATGTTCCCATATAGTGCCTGCTACAATTACATTGCATGCGGGGATGCTGCAGTTATAGCTCTGTGGTATGTGTTATATTTCTCCATGGTATAGTAAGCAGTCACATATAAGAAGGAAAAAAACTGTATAAACTGTATAAAATGTTCTGTGATTTATTTAGTTGTTGGTGTTAGGTGACCATTCCTTGAATCTCTGGAAACATTCATTTGTTTATTTTTCTCAAATAGGTTACTTTTGGTGAATTTATTCCAGGAATAATAATGGACAATTTTGTTCTTTGGATAGAGTGAGAAATAATAGGTACCCGTCCATTTTTTTCTATGTTAAATCGGATTTTAAGTTTGTTTTAATGAAACATCATCGTCAGATATAGATTGCTGACAAGACAAATGTAAAATAATATTAAGATTCATATTGTACATTTGGTTTCACGGATCTCTTACGGAAACAAATCATCGGCGATTGCAATTTCCCACATGCCACATCACTATTTGAAGGAGAATTTGTGTAAAAAAAATATTTGTAAAAAATATACCGTAAACCTACATGATGACGTTGAGAAATAAACAGCGAGAATTGCTATCTATCCCTAGCTACCTGGCCAGGCCGACACCCGACAAGCCAGGCCAGGCCCCGCCCGGTGCTCAGCCATCCCTGCTTCCATCCAGGCCCGCGGCCTGGCGAACTACCATCAAATTTTCCCGTATATAACAAAAACGTCAAAAATCCATTCGCTTGTGAATTTTAATTCAGCATTTCGCCATGATATTTCGGATCATCCATTGATGCCGTTGGGGGTGTTTTACCCCTTTTTGGAGTTTCACATCGTTTCTCGAATAGATTTATATATATATTGTGATGGTGAAGAACTTCGTTTCTAACAAGGGAATGTTTCGGACTTCATAAAGATTAATATTTTAAATTTTAAAACAGTGAAATAATGCTGGTAAATTGTTCTTAAAAAAGAATATGGTACACCCCTAGACCGTGAATGGTGTGATCTAGGCTAGTGTGATCCACTTTCGTGGCTTTCTGTCCGTACGTACGTAAGTTGACTGTGTTGTGCTGGGACTACACACTGATGACACTGTACATACATGTACACAGCAGCTCAACACGTGCGTCAGATGCTTGTTTTCACCAAAGAATGTTTAAGGATGGTGGTGAGATTTTTGAGGCGAAGCGTACGCGAATTTCAGAGACTTTCACAGTCATCCAATGGCCCGATCGACCAACTGAAAATACTATATAAATTTTTGCATCGCACAAAATGCAATGTATTTCGGAAAGTGCGGAGCACTATTGTGGATATTGCGTCGCAAAATGCAATGCGATACAGGGGAATGGAACACTGGTCAAGAGGAAGCCCCATTCCTCTAAATGTAACCTCAGGGAAACACGTAATCAACAAAAGTTATATCTTATAATTCGGGTTTCGTTTAAATGTTTTGGAAAATTCGTAAACAGATTTGGAATTTCTTCCATTTATATATTTATAAAGTAAGGATGCACTTTAAATGAATACATGTAACTAGAATGAAAGTGTGCATAAGCTTTCGTAGCTAAACATCACATCCTTTAACCCTAAATCTCCAGGCATTTTTGCTAGGATTCAACCTCAATCCTGCAAAATCCTCCAACTGCCTCCCCTTAAAAATTGCAAACAGATTCAATCCTCCTAAATCATCCGTTATTTCTTGAATGTAGTCCTTGGAGCGGTGACCACTGCCTCAATCCTGCAAAATCCTCCAGCAATCACTGTCAGTATGTTGAGGCAGAGCCAGTGCGGAGAATTTAAAGTATAATCGTGGCCAAAATGTACGCACAGCTGAGCATAAAAAACCAAGGTCCGGCCTAAGACCTTGTCACAGTGCATCCTCCAAAATCAGCCACGCATGCTAACAATCCTGCAAAATTCTCTATTTTGCACAGAGAATTTTGGAGGATTTGGGAAGGTTAGGGTTTATTGATAATACACTACTCGTGGCATGTTTGACCAAACTACAGTGGAACGTCGCTATACCAAACATTCGGCTATACCGAACATCGTCCTTGGCTACCGATTTTGGTGTACAAAACCAACCGAACACTGTTGTTGAAAACCGTCAACAGACGAGCGACAAGTGGCTATTATTTCCCCCAAGGCATAGAAGGGGAAAGCCACCCATCGATGTAGGTAGTAAGCTCAAAACTGTGTAATTACATAATTCAATAGTCGGCACATGTTCGAAGTCATCTTTCAGTAACTACCAGGGCGTGCAGGGTGAAGTTATGAAGGGCGCCATTTTATTAAAAAGTGAGTACCAGAGCAACGGCAGCTTAAAATCGCTATACCGAATGTTCACTATTACAAACATTTTTCTGTGGATCCTGCGATGTTCATTATAGCGGCATTCCACTGTAATAGTGGGCCATGCCTATAGCAACTATTAAATAAGTCACCTGACCAAAAGTTGTACTCTAATTGGTCAATGCGCACTGTTTGATTGACAGGTCGGAAAGGTCTATTAGCACCAACATGACCAATTGAAAAAGTCCCAGTCCGTTCCATTTCCTCTGTGAGCCAGAAGTTGTACCTGGTGTTTTTTATGCTGATGAACTGTAATGTGTTTGTATTACTCCCCAAACACTGTGCAAACATGGTATTGTTAGTAAAATTATCATTGGAGAGTCCGAGTAACTAGGACTCTACGAATCACCTTTTTTAACATTTGGACATGGTCGGGCGATAGTAGAGTCTAAGGATCATATCCCTATTGTGACTTCCATTTAATCAAATTCCAACAATTTTCATCATACCCCAAACAAAATCTTCAGATTTCACCCCCAAAACAGTCCCCAAACTGCCCTGATGCGCCCCTGTAGGCACACATTCTCATTCAGCCTATTGCAGTTAACGCCATGTCACGCACTGAACTGACGAATTATAGCAACCGCGGGTGCATGTGCATCGTGTCAATGCTTATGTGCACCCACTCACGGCTTCGCCGAATTAAAAACGAATACTAACAGAAATTTGAAATTTGATTTTACTGTTTTCTTTAAAATGACAGCATGCCAGGAAGAATCATATCACAGGGAGTTTAGTACCATTACTATCTTTAAACCAAGTATGCTTTCAACAATAATTTTGTCAGTTACTTTTTGATAGCTGCAAATGATGTACTCTACCTTTAAATGGTTAACCCCAACTCCCTACATGTACTTGTGTCTTTTACTAAGTAATGGACCAAGCCCACCAAAATCCATCATTGACCCTGCTTCACATGATGTTTAACGACCAAATCCGCTGAAATCCACCACAAGACCATCACTGCTATAGATAAATTTTGATGGACTTGGTACTCATGACTTGCCTACCATAATCCCCAAAATGGGAGGATGGATTTTGTTGGATTTGGGAAGGTTAGGGTTAAAACACAAAATGTACCAGTATGCTGAAAATATCAAATTAAAAACCATAACTGACATAACAAGGTGCATTTTTTTGGGACATACATGTATGCTATCAAACACATAAGACTTACTCCAGAGTCTAGATTTCCAACGTATACAGTTCTGCGAATTTCTTCAATCTTGGTAGGGTCCACATTATTGAGTGGAGGTGGTTGAGGCAAGCCAAGGGCAGCAAATGTAGGATCCATACCTAAGATAGCAGGAGCAACTGGTGCTGACAAAGTAGTCATTTGAGCCATATCAGGCACCTGTCAACAAAAAGAGATTAAACAAAAATAAGAAAACAACTTGCTATGGGATATAGGCCAAGCAGGGGGTGGTGGTTGAGTCAAGAAAGGCAAGGTGGGGCTGTGATGTCAGGTTTCATCATGATCCATGCACCCTGACCTCCAGTTGTGCCCAGTGGAATCTGGATTTATTAAAGCAACCTGTCAGATCAACCCCAGCCCTGCACGATCTAAATAAAGACGTGCAGGTGGTGAGAGTTAAAGCTCACCGCTGCCAAAATGCACGCTAAAAGACATTACGACCATGTACAGTAGTCAAAATGTGTGACACGATAGGTGTTGTTATGAATGAATAAGTAAAACTAATAACATTTCCATAAAACAAAAGGGCACTAAATGAGGTCCCCACAGAAAAGCAATGATTTATAAATGTGTAGTTGAGACTAGAAGTACATGTACAACTGGATATTACTTATGCAAAAAAGTAACACAAACTACTAAATGTACACGTATACATGTACCTGTATTAATTTAATTTAATACAATGAATAACTACATGTTTGAAGCTTGGCAAGACCATCACTACAACTCTTCCTTGCCTAATAAGTCATCGTCCTCGATGACTCGGTAGTTAAGGAGCAACTACCACTAACACTGGGATAACAAGTAACACATGGGTTGTTCATAAATAGAATGCATCTTATGCATTATATTGGGCGATTTAAAAACATAAAAACATGTGCATGGGGTAAAGAGGTAAGAGGGTATGGCGAGCAATATTTTGTATTGTGCCAATGATGTGCGACCTTTACTTTTAGAGATATGAGATATTTAATGGGTTTTGTAACGATTGCACTTGATAGGTTTACAGTACAGCAGCATACACGCGTGCAGCTATCCTCTGTAGGCCTATAATTACTACACGCTCTGTTTTTCAACCCTCAACATCAACATCAACATCAACAATCAACAATCGACATTAACATCAACATCAACAATCAACGTCAATAATGGCCCAACACCGTGTGGTTGTTCCTACAACCTCTACCGGTAGTTCAATTTGTAACATGCATTCATGAGAAGTAAAAAACGAGGAAATCAGCAGATCCAAGGCAAAGTTGCATGCCTGTAACACCTACCGGTACATATAACTTCTGGTTTGACAAGGTCACAGCATAAGGAAGCCCAAGGTCAAAATTGTACCATTATCATTATCATTAATATCATTTTTTGTGCCACGACCATTGCCACTGGACAGTCAGTCCGTAGTGCATGTGTTAATGAGGTCAAATCCCAAAATCTCTTTGCACGGCCTACGTCATGAAACGGCCACATGTACACGTGAAATTGTAAGAGTTTGGCAGATCTTTTTTCACAAACTACACATTTAGAAAGAAGCAGCGGGTTTCCAAGTTGGCGTGTTCAGTGGAAAGAGAACAATTTTTTGAATCAAATGATATAAAATATGTCGGGATTCAGTATGTTTTTGGCAGAATTTTGTACAGTCAAAGTTGGGGTGTGATTTTGAGGATGATTTTTATTTTGCCCTTTCAATACTGGACTAGAAAATAATGGTGAAAATGTGAATACAATCACTACACAGATGGCCAACAATGCCGTTGCAACAATGGTATCTCCATTCCCCCCCCCCCCCCCTGCAGTTTGCAAAGGCATCCCTATCAGAGGCTCCAGTGATAATACGGTTTTCCGGTGCTCGTCTCCGGAGAACCCCTTTGGCACAGGGGGGCGTGAGTGGACATTCTAACAGCCTTCTTGTAGGCAAGAAATCGTATGGGATCTCTGATTGGTCCGTTTGCTGCAGCCAGCACACTTTCAACCAATCACTGCTGGGGAACTTGGCAGGCTGGCAATGTTTCGCGCGTTTTTCTCCCTTTTCTGCTTTCTTTCGCCGAGCTTCACACACGACAAAATAAAACCTCCGTACCTTTCGACAATTTTTCGACTTCTTCGAATCGCTCAAGAACCCCGCATTATGCCGGGTAACAGAGGCCGCAAGCGCAAGAATCCAAGGGACGGCGGACAGCGGGAAAAACGTCCTCTAAGCCATCATCCTCGCCAAACTCGAGCACAAGCCAGAGCAATGCAGACCTTACTTAACCCGCCATCGGTCGCCAACAGCGATGCGGCAGGCTACGGTCCCGAGGAACAGCGCCCTCAGTCGTCGGGAGCGGAGGTCATACCGCCTGAGGTCACACGTACATGTACTCACGCTGCAGCCACCAGCGTGACCGCGACGGCCGAAAACTCGCCGGTCGCCCGGTCTACCCCCAGATTCCGGCCAGCCAGCAACCCACACCACTGTCAGGGAACTCGAGCGGGGCTTCCAACTCCTTTCGACGGCCAGCCGCCCAAGAAACGGCCGTACACGTCGGCAATTTGCAGCTGGGGGCCGCGACCTACACCACTGCCGGGACGCCGGCGTTCGTTGCTGGCACCCCGCCGGCCTCCGCATGGCCTCCGCCCATATACACCAGCCCACCTGCCGGCGTGTTTACATCGTCGCCAGTGGTCATCCCCACACCGAGTGCTGCCCAATCCAGTGCCATGCATCCCCTCTACCAGCAGGCCTACATCAGTGGCATGGCCCCATCATACTTCACTGGTTTTCAGGGCGTTCCAGTGGCACATCCTTCGACTACACCCATATCCGGGTCTTCCACCTCATCCGGCCAACTTGGACAGCCAGCCAGGGGGTACCAAAACCCATCCACCTCGGGTGAGTACAGTGCCGATATGGCCAACATGGCTACTGGTTGTGTTACCCCAAGCTCACAACCCCTTTTGAGCATAATGAGTTCTCAACCTGCTCCTTCTCTGTCCAACCAGACCAACCCAACCACCACTGCCATTAACCCTGAGTGGGGAGGGGGGCCCCTACTATCCATATGTGAACCCCTAGGAAACACGGTATCACCTGGGGTTAAGGAAAAAATTGTAAAAAGCGAGGTCCTAGAACTCGACACTCTCCTGGACCGCCACGGACCTAACCCACAACCTCCCAACCTCACATTCACATTGGATAAGTCAGGCCAATTACGTGTGACTGATACAAAGAAAAAAACGCAGATAAATTCCATTTTGGCATGGACCGACGCATTCCTAGTTTTTGCATCTGTGTTCCTCAGTGTGCACCCCGCGCGGTTGCAGGAATTACTTAAATATATGCACGTGGTTCGCATGGCGGCTGCACGCTTCACCGGCCGCGGTTGGTTGGAATACGACCGGCAGTTTCGCATGCGCCAGCAATTTCACCCATCTAGGGCATGGTCCATCATTGATGGGGAGCTGTGGGCGCTCTACATTGCTGCCCCAGGGCCTTCGTACGTAGGCGCAGGTGGACAAGGGGGGCCCCCACTCGTCACACCCAAACGAGCTTACAATTCTTTTCGCTGGCCATCCCGTCAACCCCCCCCCCCCCCCCCCCCCCCCCCCCCCCCCCCCCCCCGCACCAGTAACATCTGCTTTGCATTCAATCGGACCCCAAGCGGCTCAAGGGTACAGTGCCCATTCCCCCACAAATGCTCCGCTTGCTTCTCAACCGGACATGGGGCGTCTGCTTGCAAAACCCCTGCCAACAAGAAAAATACCACTCGTCCCTAGGGGGCTTAGCCCACATCTTCACCCTCATCAGCCTTGTACTAGCTCTCCCAACTGCGTATGTTGCCTCGCGCATTCACCAGTGATTATAGAATGTCTCTTACCATTGCTAGATAATTACCCCAACACAAAGGTAGCAAATACGCTACGCTCTGGGTTCACAACTGGGTTCAAATTGGGTTACAACGGCCTCCGCATAGCTACGGACTCTAGGAATTTATCCTCGGTTAGAAGAAACCCTGAAATAGCACTCAATAAATTACATAAAGAGGTCCAGCTGGGGCGCATGGCGGGCCCATTTGAAACGAGTCCAATTCAAAACCTTAGAATTTCCCCCATAGGTCTTGTTCCAAAAACAGACCCCGGCAGCTTTAGACTGATACACCACCTCTCCTATCCCGAATCCGACTCTGTCAATGACGGCATTGACAAACAATTATGTTCAGTACAATACACCACCTTTGATGACGCAGTTAGCTTAGTGGTAAGCTCGGGGAGGGGGGCCCTGATGGCCAAAGCCGATATTAAATCTGCCTTCCGTCCTCTGCCAATCCATCCTGATGATTTTTGCTTATTGGGCATTAAAATGCGGGACAGAATTTATGTTGACAAAACACTCCCGATGGGAGCAGCATGCGCTCCAGCATATTTTGAGAAGTTTTCCACTTTCATTGAGTGGGCCGTGAATAGACGATCAGGTTCTGGACACATATGCCATTATGTGGACGACTTCCTGGTGGTCGGGGGGGCAACTTTAGGTGGCCCCCTCTCATGCCAGAGCACGTTGGATTGCTTCATTCAAGTTTGTGGGGAACTAGGGGTGCCACTAGCAAATGAAAAAACAGTCCTTCCCACCACACAACTGACATTCCTGGGGTTGGAAATTAATTCCATATCACAAACTGTGTCAATCCCCTCAGAGAAACTCATCAACATCACTAAAAAGATTCAGGAGGCAATCCGCCCCTCCAAACTAACCCTCAGAAATCTCCAATCACTCATTGGATCCCTATCCTTTGTGTGCCGTGCCGTCTCTCCTGGACGAGCCTTCCTCAGGAGACTGATCGACGACACAAAAATGGTAAAGCAACCTTGGCACCTAATTAGGCTTTCAAAGGGCGCGAAGGAAGACCTGAACATGTGGCAGGTGTTCCTGCGTAGCTTTAACGGGAGGACAATAATTCCTGACCAGTACTGGGCACTACACGAAGATCTTCAACTATTCACAGACGCTAGTGGGGGCATAGGATTTGGGGGGTACTTTCTGGGCCAATGGTTTACCGGGATTTGGCCTCAATCTGTCAAGGATGACAACCCGTCCATCGCTTGGCTAGAATTCTTCCCAGTAGTTGTGGCTCTCACACTATGGGGGAAATCCCTTGCCGGGAAGAAAATAATTATCA